TCATAATTCTAAAAATAGTAACGCAAGATGATATGACATCACACTTACCTCAAGTACAACGGCAAATGAATTCATTAAAAGTGGGAGGGGCCTCTCAAAAGTAGGTGTGGCCAAGCCAACCAACTCCTATACATTAAATATACAGAAATAAAAATGGCATAAAATTAAACGTTTAATTGTCTTCTTCGTCTTACATTAATAAGTTGTATTGATTCAAACTGATTATTATTAATGGCTGCTCTGATTGACTCTAAAAGATGACTGGAGCAATATCTCATTTGCAACGATAGGACACTACACAAAACCAGCTCAACCTGTTTGACCACCGGTACACTTGATAACGCCACTCTTCTAAACTTCCTCCTGTGACACATAAAAGAGAAAAAAGAGAAAGAAGATAAGGGAGAGAGAGAAGTGGTATTCTACCTTGCTAATGGTGTTAGAAAGTCACTGCTAATGTCAAAGGACAGCTCCCATGGTAACCACACATTCGGATCAAACTAAGTGACAATAAATAAACAAACAAACAAACAAATAAATAAATAATGTACTTTTGTTGCCTCCATTATCTGTGACATTACTGGTACTTCACATAAGCTGTCAATCATCTTTATTACATCAGATACTAATACAACAAAGGTTATGTTTGCAAAGAAACTGGTTTTGTTTTGTCTCACTCTCTTCGTTAAATTTTGGAGGGACATCAATCAAACTGGCAGCTGCTAACCTCTTACTAATATAATTAAACTAATAATAAAATAAAATAATAATAATTATGATAAAGACTTACTTTATTAACTATATTAATCACATTGCTATCATTATCAACAACTGCTTTCAAAATATCATCTATAATAAAACAAGCAATCATTTTATACCAATTCACATATATTGTATATGTACCTGCTCCTCCTGATGTCAGTAAATTATGAAAGAAATGACAATAAAACCTGATGGAGTAAGAGAGAGAGAGGGGGGGAGTATAAAGAATTAGATGATTATCCAAATACTTGGCAGTTTTCAACATTCCTTCAGTATTAACATGAACTAGTGAACTCATGAAAAATAAACAATAATCAGTAGAATCCTAAAAAAGCAAAACAACATATATCAAGAGTGTCCACTCTTTCATATATGTACATGTACATGTGTTAATGGCCGTCTCTACTTCCTTCCCTCATTACTTGAATTGCTAATGACTCAAGGGCACAACATGGCTGCCATCTTATCACAATGTCTTGATAAATGACAGCCTCTTTGTATAAAGACACACACAAAACTGACAATGAATAATAATGAGAATCAGTCAATTCCAGATACTAAAGAGAAGAAGTTGCTGGAATTACAATATAGCAGGAAATTTGGAGGGAGTTAAATTTGGCATTTAGATAGTCATTTGCCAAATAAAATCTGCCATTTTGAACCATTATACGCATGCTCAATGGTACATGGCCACAAATTTGCTAAATTAAAATTTGTCAATCACCCAAATATAGCAATTTGCCAAATTTTAATCCCTCCAATATTTCCTGCTATATGGTATTACTAATATCATAATTGCCATTACTTTATCATGTAACAGTTCATAAACCATCATTACTAGTGGCCAGTGTAGCTCAGTGTGGCTTGATAACATCTTCACAAATAAATCAACCAGCACAAACCTAATGTCACATGATGATCGCATGATCAGTCGGTCACTACTCACTGTTTATCAGTAATGTCAGCCTCACTTTCATGGAGTGGTAATGATATTTTAATAATAATTTCAGTAATGTACTTCAATAGTAACTCAACCACCTGAAAAAAATTCAATAGCCACCTAAATTTCCACTCCCATACTCCCATACTTCATACCTGTATTTCCCATTCCTTCAGTCCTGGACTGCATATGTCTCCATTGTGTTTTTTCGATGATTTATCATTATTATTAATGATTGATTTCTTAATGTCACTGACTACTTGATTAATCGCAGTGGACACTTGAGACAAAATTGGACCTAATTGATCTAGAAAAATATACAATAATTATAATAATCCATTATCCATAGCTCCTCTTCTCTCTACCTCTCACCTTCATTGTCCTCATAGTGTCTCTTCAGTCTCTCCAGCTTCTCTTCTAATGGAGAATACATCAGCAACATCTTACTGGAACTAGAACCTGATAGAATAATAATTAACAAAAAATAAATAATAATAATTTATACATGTGCAAGTACCTTCGCCATTACTAGTTGAGTTGTTTAACTTTTTACATTCTCTTTCGTATTTAGCAAACATAGACTGGTGGCTTTTATCTCTTCTAAAAACACAACAACAAACAACAAAATAACATTAACATGTACATATATATACACTTATTAATTATACACTATTAGTTGTACATGTACATGTACACTATTATAATTGCACACTTATTACATGTACATGTATGTTCTTTAGTACTTCTTAAGTGCTTCAATGAGTCTTTCCCTTGTATCAGGAGGTGAAGGAATCTGTCCAAAAAATTAACAGTAATACATGTATATCAACATAACAATTAACAACAATACATCAATAATAATATATAATAATTATAGCAACATTAACAGTAAAATCTCTCTTTCTTTCTCACTTGTCTAGGAGCTAATAATAATCTCAGTATCCTTCCAGTATAGTAAGGCTGATTGAACATTTGATACTCCAACAGTTTATTAGGAATAGTCTGACAATTGTTAGCCTCAAATGAAGACAGTATGTCATTTAATTCAACTTCAGCCATTGAGAACTAAAGGGAGAGAGAAAGAGGCAGAGAATGGAGTTTAAAAGAGATTACATGTAAAGTGTATAGTTACCTCGTGATTGATTTCAACATTATCTTCAGTGCTATTAGTATCAATGTAATCATAATCAACCTACAAGCATTCAATAACTGCTAAATTTATTTTTAAAAATCCAAGTTTCTCTAACTTTGTACAAACATGTAATATAAATGTACATGTACATGTTCAATTTTGGTGAAATTTGGGTAACGTCCCTGTACTATAGTACAGGGACTTTGATCCGATTTTGGAGCAACTTTAAAAATTCATAAAAAATCCAAATTTGATAGAAATCAGCTCAAACTTTCTACACAGCATAAGTACATGTATATGTATCAGATAAAGTTATAAAAACCCAGAAATCTCTCCTTCACAATTTTGGTGAAATTTGGCCAACATCCCTGTACTATAGTACAGGGACTTTGACCAGATTTCGGAGCATCTTTAAAAATTCATTAAAAATCCAAACTTTATTGCAATCAGCTCAAACTTTCTACTGAGCATAAAAAAGCAGACATAGCATGTACATAGACAGTAGAACAATTATTCTTTGCTACTGTAAGTACTTGTAAATAGTCCAATCTTGATTTAGCCTTTACAATATAACCAGTTACTAACTGACTACACTTTGCTAGTTTTCTTGGAGGAAAAGTAATATGAGCCTAAATAGAATTATTATTATTATTATTATTATTATTATTATTGTTGTTGTTGTTGTTGTTGTTTTTGTTGTTCTTTCTTACTTGTAAACAATATGGCGGATCCTCATTGATTAAATTAGTCAAACACTTCATTAGAAACGTCAAAGTTCTTTTAGAATCCATCAAAGAATGTTGAGAAGAACCAAAAACTGACTATACACAATAATAATAATAATAATAACAACAACAATAATTATGCATTTCGTAGTGTTGTGCAGTTTAAGAATATTAATAATAATGAATGCCCTATAGTTTCAAATTTTCGTCGGTCAAAATTTTCGTCAAATTTGACAAAAATTGCGAGCTATACGGTAATAATAATCTAATCCATCTTTCTCTCATTTTTTGACCACTTTTTTCTCATTCCTTTCCCTTTACCTTAAACCAGTTACCATATGATGGGAAGACATGCCCTCCCTCCATCCCTCCTTGTCTTGACAATAATAAACTAATTATCAAATACTCTTCATTTTCTTGACTCAGTGATATTAATAATAAATCAGTAATACACTCTAAAAATAAACAAACAAATAAATAATAAATAAATAAATAATATTAAATACTTTTAAATCCTGTTACATGGTCAATGTGAGTATGTACACAACAACTAACGAACTGCAATAATCCAAACCAATTAACCTATTAATTAATAATAATTAATAAATAATTGATTAATTAATTATTAATTACTAACGTTTGATGATTGAGATATTTTAATGATATTCTTCCAACACAACAAATGACCCATTAACATGGCAACCTGGAGAAAGAGAGGGAGAGAGAAAGAGAGAGAGAGAGGGGGGGAGATGGAGGGGAAGGGAGAGAGAGGATTAATAAAGTGATAAATTGTTTACTTTGCTCAGTAATTTTGACTTTCCTTCTTCAATACATGACAAAGTCACCTCATTCTGTCTAGTCAGCATTTCTCTCACTACAAAAAAA